CACACAGTGACCAGCAGGTAGAGGTATTCACATTTCTAAATGGATGCATACCTCTCCCTGCTGGTCACTGGGAGCTGCAGACTCTAGCTGTGCAGTCCGATCAGTTGCTTGGTTACAGATCGAACAACTGATCAACAGATTGCACAGGCAGTCTGAAACACACAGACTACAGGGATGCTGTGCAATCTGCTGATCAGTTGCTCGATTTGTCATCAAGGAACTGAAAAACAGCAGATTGCACAGCTAAAGTCAGTCGCAGAGTGGCCAGCAGGGAGGAGCATACCTGTTTAAAGGGATGTGTTCTTTCACATAATGCCCTTTGAAGAAGATCCCAGAGTGCTGCGTTGTTTAAAGGAGACCCCTCCCACCTACCTCGAAGCAAAGACCAGTAGCTTTTGTTTTTGAGAATCATATGTTATATGAAAGAACACACCCCCAGCATCCCTTTAGACCTGCATTCTACCATGGGGCTACATACTTTAGCTGTGCAACCTGCTGATAAATTGCTTGACGACAAATCGAGCAACTGATCAGCAGATTGCACAGCATCCCTTTAGAGATGTACCTCTCCCTTCTGGCCAACCTTAGCGGTGCCGGTTCGGCGCAGCATGTTTTTTTTTTTTTTAAGAGGGTTGAGGACGTCTTTTCCACATTTCTTGAACATAGGGCAGCCCACTCATGTGAAACGAGATATGCAGGAACACGCCGGCACTTGGTTGGACCAAAGGGGGCGTCTTCCCCCGAAAACCATCTCATCTACAGAACAGGAGCCCTCCTACTACCCGGCATCCCGTATTGTGCAGATTTGGTCAGCAGAGGAAGTCCTTTTCAGGGAAGCTATGTACAGCACCTGGCCCCTCCCACCAGCCAGGATCTGCCTGCCTTGCATAGAGAATCGCAGAGACCCAGTGAAAATGGAAACGTTTTATTTACAAATGTCATTAACATGGGGGGTAGGGGCCACCATACACGTTACTAACTGACCGTACAATCGACCTTAGAACTATGTCATAGGAGGACCCACCTCGTCTATCCAATCAGGGAGGCCGTTAGTCGATGGTGGATCCAATGGAAATTGGATAGACGAAGTCCAATCAGATTGTGGCGTGTATGGCCGGATGAAAGAGCCTGCTTTTGCTGGAGCTGCACATTGGGCATTCCTCTGTATCTGGAGGAGTCAGTGAGGCAGAAGTCGGGTCAGGCTGAATGGAAATCTGCCCGGGGCCACTGTACGTGAGAAGATGATCCACCATCGGGGGATGGGAGATGGCAGGGAATGCCTCCCTCAAATGTCCAATCGGGGAATCCTTCTCGATTGTTTTCCATCAGAAGCAATCGACTTCCTTTCTTGCGTTGGTGATTTTTTCCGGCTGACTATAACACCATACAATCTGATTGTACAATCTCGCATGTCCCATTTTTGGCCCGTTACGGTGCATGGTAGAATGGGCTGCCGTGACGCAGCATAACCCGCGACGTAATGCACCGCCAACAGTTTCACTCGGGGAGGATGGAGGACTGACCAATCACAGGGCCAATCACAAAAGAAAAAAACATCCAACAGAATTTCCACCGCTGACTACTCTGCAATCAGCAAAATGAAAGGGACACTAACACCTCGATGTGTATAATTATTACACCTGCAGATTGGAAACAAATGTCAGAATGGATGGATGGGACTCCGATGGAGTTAAAGGGGAACGCCACCGGGGGAGGGGAGGGGGAGGGGGTCATGTTCTCCAACAGCTTACCTCTAATGTCCCCTGCTCACATAGAGGACTGGAGAGCCTCATACAAAGCCATTCATCCACATCACTGGGAGATTACCCAGCTCCGCCACTGACAGCCTTTCACTTTTTACTCAATAGCCCAGGCCCCGCCCACCCCTCCCTCTGACAGAGAGCCCTCGTTCCCTCCCCCCCCACCCCATTGCTGGTGATTGGCTGCATTTCAAAATCTTTAAAAAGAACAGGGAGGGCCGGGGAGGATTAACCCCTTCACTGCGGGGAACAGGATCGCAGCTTGCTGACGGAAAAAAGTCCCCTCCCCCCCCCCACAGTATGCTCTGGCTCTGACTAATATACCGCAGCGCTCTGTACAGAGAACACTGAGCCAGTCCCTCACCAGAGGAGCTTACACTCTAATGTCCCCCCCCCCCCCCACAGTCACATCAGTCTCTGTACAGAGGAGCTTACACTCTAATGTCCCTTCCCCCCACAGTCACATCAGTCTCTGTACAGAGGAGCTTACGCTCTAATGTTCCCCCCCCCACAGTCACATCAGTCTCTGTACCAGAGGAGCTTACACTCTGATGTCCCTTCCCCCCACAGTCCCATCAGTCTCTGTACAGAGGAGCTTACGCTCTAATGTCCCCTCCCCCACAGTCACATCGGTCTCTGTACAGAGGAGCTTACACTCTAATGTCCCCCCCCCCTCACCTCCCAGTACACTAATGTCCCCTCGGTCTCTGTACAGAGGACCTTACGCTCTAATGTCCCCTCCTCCCCCCCAGTCCCATCAGTCTCTGTACCAGAGGAGCTTACACTCTAATGTCCCCTCCCCCACAGTCACATCAGTCTCTGTACAGAGGAGCTTACACTCTAATGTCCCCCCCACAGTCCCATCAGTCTCTGTACCAGAGGAGCTTACACTCTAATGTCCCCCTCCCCCACAGTCCCATCAGTCTCTGTACAGAGGAGCTTACACTCTAATGTCCCCTCCCCCACAGTCCCATCAGTCTCTGTACAGAGGAGCTTACACTCTAATGTCCCCTCCCCCCAGTCCCATCAGTCTCTGTACAGAGGAGCTTACACTCTAATGTCCCCTCCCCCACAGTCCCATCAGTCTCTGTACAGAGGAGCTTACACTCTAATGTCCCCCCCCCCCACAGTCACATCAGTCTCTGTACAGAGGAGCTTACACTCTAATGTCCCCCCCCCCCCTCCCCCACAGTCCCCATCAGTCTCTGTACAGAGGAGCTTACACTCTAATGTCCCCCCCCCCCCACAGTCCCATCAGTCTCTGTACAGAGGAGCTTACACTCTAATGTCCCCCCCCCCACAGTCACATCAGTCTCTGTACAGAGGAGCTTACACTCTAATGTCCCCCCCCCCACAGTCACATCAGTCTCTGTACAGAGGAGCTTACACTCTAATGTCCCCCCCCCCACAGTCCCATCAGTCTCTGTACAGAGGAGCTTACACTCTAATGTACACTCTCCCATCAGTCTCTGTACCCCCTCTAGTACCCCCTCCAACCCACAGTCACATCAGTCTCTGTACCAGAGGAGCTTACACTCTAATGTCAGCCCCCCCCCCCCCACAGTCCCATCAGTCTCTGTACAGAGGAGCTTACACTCTAATGTCCCCCCCCCCCACAGTCACATCAGTCTCTGTACCAGAGAGCTTACACTCTAATGTCCCCTCCCCCACAGTCACACACTATTATTATACATGTATATAGCTCTGACATAGACCGCGGTGCTGTACAGAGAACAACTGAGTCTCAATGATCTTGAAGTTTGTAGATTCACTTTGCGAGGATCCCACACATTTCACAGAGCCCCGCCTTCTGAGAGGAGGAGTTTCAGGAGGCGGAGTCAGTGCAGGGACCTGTGATATCAGGCAGCACGGTACCGTAGGACATGTAGTCCTTAAAATGGAGGAAGGAGCTGCAGAGCATTCTGGGAATCCGGGAAGTTGTGGAAAGAGGCGGCAGCAGACAAGCAGCACTCACAGCATGAAGGGAGATTCCTCCAGTGATCTTCTATTGCCTGTATTATGATCACAATGCTGATGTCACACACGGCTCAGAACATGGAAGGAGGACTTCGTGATCCGAGTCCCATCAAGTCCATGAACCTCCTGGGATATGGATCTGGTCAGGTAAGTCCCAGAGGGGGGTGGTAATCAGTTTCAGCTGCTTTGGTGTTCATGAAATGACCAACAGGTGCACTAGATGGGCAACAATGAGACGACCCCCAAAACAGGAATGGTTTTACAGGTGACATTCTTTTCCCTCCTCATCTTTTCTGACTGTTTTTCACTAGTTTTGCACTTGGCTCGGGTCACTGCTGCTGGTAGCATGAGGCCATACCTGGACCCTACAGAGGTTGCACAGGCAGTCCGACTCCTCCAGGATGGCACATCAATCTCCCAGCACGTACCATTGATTCCAGGAGACAGAAGGTTTGAGCTGGAGGAGTGTCTCCCAGGAGCAGCAGTCAGGAGACAAGAGCATGGCAGGAGACGAGAGATTCCAGGAGACAAGAGCATGGAGGAGATTCCAGGAGACAAGAGCATGGAGGAGATTCCAGGAGACAAGAGCATGGAGGAGATTCCAGGAGACAAGAGCATGAAGGAGTTTCCAGGAGACAAGAGCATGGAGGAGATTCCAGGAGACAAGAGCATGGAGGAGATTGCAGGAGACAAGAGCATGGAGGAGATTGCAGGAGACAGGAGGAGTTCCTCAGGAGACAGGGCTGGACAGGGCTGTAGAAGGTCCTTAACCCATCAGCAGGACCGGTATCTGCTCCTTTGTGCAAGGAGGACCAGGATGAGCCCTGCCAGAGCCCAACAAAATGACCTCCAGCAGGCCACTGGTGGGAATGTCTCTGACCAAACAATCAGAAACAGACTTCATGAAGGTGGCCTGAGGGCCCGACGTCCTCTAGTGGGCCCTGTGCTCACTGCCCAGCACCATAGAGCTGGATTGGCATTGGCCATTGAACCCCAGAATTGGCAGGTCCACCACTGGCGCCCTGTGCTTTTCACAGATGAGAGCAGGTTCACCCTGAGCACATGTGACAGACGTGAAAGGGTCTGGAGAAGCCGTGGAGAACGTTCTGCTGCCTGTAACATGGTTCAGTATGACCGTTCTGGTGGTGGGTCAGTGATGGTCTGGGGGAGGCATATCCATGGAGGGAAGCACAGACCTCTACAGGATAGACAATGGCCCCCTGACTGCCATTAGGAATCAGGATGAAATCCTTGGACCCAGTGTCAGACCCTACACTGGTGCAGTGGGTCCTGGGTTCCTCCTGGTGCAGTGGGTCCTGGGTTCCTCCTGGTGCGGTGGGTCCTGGGTTCCTCCTGGTTTGGTGGGTCCTGGGTTCCTCCTGGTGCGGTGGGTCCTGGGTTCCTCCTGGTGTGGTGGGTCCTGGGTTCCTCCTGGTGCGGTGGGTTCTGGGTTCCTCCTGGTGCAGGGATCCTGGGCTTCTCCTGGTGCAGTGGATCCTGGGTTCCTCCTGGTGCAGTGGATACTGGGTTCCTCCAGGTGTAGTGGATCCTGGGTTCCTCCTGGTGCAGTGGGTCCTGGGTTCTTCCTGGTGCAGTGGATCCTGGGCTCCTCCTGGTGTAGTGGGCCCTGGGTTCCTCCTGGTTCAGTGGCTCCTGGGTTCCTCCTGGTGCAGTGGGTCCTGGGTTCTTCCTGGTACACGACAATGCCTGGCCTCATGTGGGGAGAGTATGCAGGCAGTTCCTGGAGGATACCATTGAATGGCCCCCAGTCTCTCCTGACCTAAATCCAATAGGACCCCTCTGGGATGTCATGTTGTGGTCCATCCAACGCCACCTGGTTACCCCTCAGACTGTCCAGGAGCTCAGTGATGTCCTGGTCCAGATCTGGGAGGAAATCCCCCAGGACACCATCCGTGGTCTCATTAGGAGCCTCCCCCGACGTTGTCAGGCATGCATACAAGCACGTGGGGGCCACACAGACTACTGAGGACCATTCTGAGTTGCTGCAATGACATTTCACCAACATGGACTCGCCTGCTGCATCATTTCTTCTCTTTGATTTTCGAGGTGTCTTTGAATTCAGTCCTCTGTAGGTCGATCATTTCCATAAAATGATGGGGCGTCCTTATGTTCCTCACCCATCCCCCGTCCATGTCAGTATAGAGATCCAGCAGGAGATTCCTCCCCATTGAGATCTGATGGGTTGTCAGAGTCTTCCTTTCATTTTTTGAGCCGTGTATTATGTACAATGAAGGTGTGCGCTGGGGGTGGACATCCCCTCAAAGCCCGGGATACCAGCGCTGCAAAGCCACAGTGCTCAGCAATGAGGGGGGGGGGGTAAAGGGAAAGGCACTCATTCAGGGACAGAATATTTAAAAATAGATAATTTTACTTCTTTATTATAAAAAAAAGTGTTAATATTCAAAAAATATCTGCTGCTGTCCTATTCCTGATCACACAGAACACAGGGGGCTTCATCAGTGCTGTGCTCACATCCTGGTATCTGAGCTCCCTCTACTGGTGGATTGTTTAATGGCAGCTACAAGTTTGCAGTTTATTAACCACTTCCGGTTCTACCTGGCCTTTTTTTTTTTTATATTTGCTGTTTGGCACTGCGCTACTTTAACTGGTCATTTATATATTTTTTATCTTTTCACACAAATAGAGCTTTCTTTTGGTGGTCTTTAAACACCTCGGTTTTTCTTTATTTTTTTTTATTATATATAAAAAAAAAGATAAAATGGAAAAAAAAAAAAAAAAATATATATATATATATAAATTTATTTATTTCCATTTTTATATTTTTTTTTTTTCATTTATATAGTATTTATTTATTTATTTTTTCTATTTTCTGTTATAAAATGTATCCAATTAAAAAAAAAAAGAAACTTTTCATAAATGCTGGCCAAAGTGTATTCTTCTACATGTCTTTGTTAAAAAAGAAAAAAGGAAAACATCTCAAATAGCGCCCACAATCGTCTGTATATTCGCTTGCCGGCTGCATCACTTAGTTACGGGGCGGCAGAGCGGCTCTACCTAGTATGTGATCCGGCTCATCCGGGTAGGAGGCGCGCTTGCAGGTCCAGGCACAAGGTCATCTAGAGCCCGGGGTGAGGATGCCAAATGGTGCCCCCCCCCCCCCCCCCCCCAGTGTATGAGCATTATGTGTCAGCTCATACACCCCCCCCCCACAAAAAAAAAAATTCAAGCAATGATCTTCACACCTATCCCCTAAGCAAAAATTCCCTTTGCAAGTCAAAATTCTCCCAAAAAAATAAAATTGAACCTCTTCCAGTGTACAAATCCCACCTCCCAGCTCTAATCCGCTCCCTCCCCAATTCCCCCCTCCCAGATCAAATCTGCTCCCTCCCCAAATCCCCCCTCCCAGATCAAATCTGCTCCCTCCCCAAATCCCCCCTCCCAGATCAAATCTGCTGCCTCTCCAAATCATCCCCCCTCCCAGCACAAATCACCCCCCTAAATCCCCTCTCCCAGCTCAAATCCGCTCCCTCCCATAATTGCTCTTCCCAGCTCAAACCTGCACCCTCCCCAAATCACCCCTCTTAACACAAACCTGCACCCTCCCCAAATCACCCCTCTTAACACAAACCTGCACCCTCCCCAAATCACCCCTCTTAACACAAACCTGCACCCCCCCAAATCATCCCTCCTAGCACAAATCCACATCCCCCCTGCTAGCTCAAATCCGCTCCCTCCCATAATTGCTCTTCCCAGCTCAAACCTGCACCCTCCCCAAATCACCCCTCTTAACACAAACCTGCACCCTTCCCAAATCACCCCTCTTAACACAAATCTGCTCCCTCCCCAAATCATCCCTCCTAGCACAAATCCACATCCCCCCTGCTAGCTCAAATCTGCTCCCTTCCCAAATCCCCCCTCCCAGCCCAAATTCGTTCCCTCCCCAATTCCCCCTCCTAGCTCAAATCCGTTTCCCTCCCCAAATCCCCCCTACTAGCCCAAATCTGCTCCCTCCTGCCTCAAATCCCCCCTCCTAGCTCAAATCCGCTCCCTCCCCAAATCCCCCCTACTAGCTCAAATCCGCTCCCTCCCCAAATCCCCCCTCCTAGCACAAATCCACCCCCCCCAAATCCCCCCACCTAGCACAAATCCACATCCCCCCCAAATCCCCCCTCCTAGCACAAATCCACATCCCTCCCAAATCCCTCCTCCTAGCTCAAATCTACTCCCTCTCCAATTCCCCCCATCCTAGCTCAAATCTGCTCCCTCTCCAAATTCACCCTCCTAGCTCAAATCTGCTCCCTCCCCAGATCCCCTCTCCCAGCTCAGATCCGCTCCCTCCCCAAATCCCCCCTCCTAGCACAAATCCACATCCCCACTCCTAGCACAAATCCACACCCCCCCAAATCCCTCCTCCTAGCTCAAATCTGCTCCCTCCCCAAATCCCTCACCTAGCTCAAATCTGCTCAAATCCCCTCCCCAAATCTGCTCCCCCCCAAATCCCCCCTCCCAGCTCAAATCCACTCCCTCCCCAGACCCCCCCCCCTTCCAGCTCAAATCCACTCCCTCCCCAAATCCCCCCTCCTAGCATAAATCCACATCCCCCCCAAACCCCCCCTCCTAACTCAAATCTTCTACCTCCCCAAATCCTCCCTCCTGGCTCAAATTCTGCTCCCTCCCCAAATTCCCCCTCCCAGCTCAAATTTGCTATCTCCCCAAATCCCCCATCCCAGCTCAAATCTGCTCCCTCCCCAAATCCCTCCCACCTAGCACAAATCCACATCCCCCCCCCCCCCAAATCCCCCCTCCTAGCTCAATTCTGCTACCTCCCCAAGTCCCCCCTCCCAGCTCAAATCCGCTCCCTCCCAAATCCCCCCTCCTAGCTCAAATCTGCTACCCCCTCCCCCCTCCCAGCTCAAATCCGCTCCCTCCCCAAATCTCCCCCCTAGATCCCTCTCCAAATGAAAGTAGCGCAGTACTGCATATCAAAAAATGGCCTAGTCATGAAGGGGGGTAAATCTTCCAGAGGGCCAGTGGATATATTCTAGACTTTTTATATATTTTTCTTTTATACTAGTAACGGTGGTGATCAGTGACTTATAATGGGACTGCGATACTGCGGCGGGCAATCTGACACTGACTGGGAACTAACTGCCACTGACATCACCAGTGATCAGTGATATTACCAGGGCCTTTTTTTCAGCGGGAACGCACCTCCAGCACTGAATGTATGTAATGGAAGGGGTGCTGGAGTGTGCTGGAATGTCTATTGATGCTGGCTGCTTGGGGATCTAGTTTCACTGGAAGGGATCTATTTTTACATGGAGGTCTATTGTTGCTGGTGGGGGATCTATTGTTGCTGAGGGCGGGGCAATTGTTGCTGGAATCAACCACTGAGGGATTTGTCTACTGTTGCAGGCTGCTGGAGAGTTTGTTGATGCTGGCTGCTCGGAGATCTGCGGTTGCTGCTGAGGGTCTGTTGTTGCTGGGATAATATTTTGTTGCTGGGGTCCATTATTGTTTAGGAAATCTATTGTTTTTATTGGGGGGGTCTACTGCTGCTGGCTGTGGGCAAAATATGTTACTGCCTCTCTTGTTATCATGAACAAATTCCATACAAATGACTTAACACCACAACATGATACTTGGCTCTGTATTCTCTAAAGGGAGCAGTACTGGGTGGGTGGAACAAAGAGACTGTGCTCAGAGGTGGGTGTGGGGTGGAACCAAGGCATGGTGCTGGGACATTAGTAGGGGCTGGAACCAAGGGATGGTGCTCAGAGGTGGGTGTGGGGTGGAACCAAGGCATGGTGCTGGGACATTAGTAGGGGTGGAACCAAGGGATGGTGCTCAGAGGTGGGTGTGGGGTGGAACCAAGGCATGGTGCTGGGACATTAGTAGGGGCTGGAACCAAGGGATGGTGCTCAGAGGTGGGTGTGGGGTGGAACCAAGGCATGGTGCTGGGACATTAGTAGGGGCTGGAACCAAGCATTGGTGCTCAGAGGTGGGTGTGGGGTGGAACCAAGGGATGGTGCTGAGACATTAGTAGGGGCTGGAACCAAGGGATGGTGCTCAGAGGTGGGTGTGGGGTGAAAGCAAGGCATGGTGCTGGGACATTAGTAGGGGCTGGAACCAAGGGATGGTGCTCAGAGGTGGGTGTGGGGTGGAAATTAAGGCATGGTGCTGGGACATTAGTAGGGGCTGGAACCAAGGGATGGTGCTCAGAGGTGGGTGTGGGGTGGAACCAAGGCATGGTGCTGGGACATTAGTAGGGGCTGGAACCAAGGGATGGTGCTCAGAGGTGGGTGTGGGGTGGAACCAAGGCATGGTGCTGGGACATTAGTAGGGGCTGGAACCAAGCATTGGTGCTCAGAGGTGGGTGTATGGGTGGAACCAAGGCTTGGTGCTGGGACATTAGTAGGGGCTGGAACCAAGGGATGGTGCTCAGAGGTGGGTGTGGGGTGGATCCAATGCATGGTGCTGGGACATTAGTAGGGGCTGGAACCAAGGGATGGTGCTCAGAGGTGGGTGTGGATGGTGAAACCAAGGCATGGTGCTGGGACATTAGTAGGGGCTGGAACCAAGGGATGGTGCTCAGAGGTGGGTGTGGTGTGGAACCAAGGCTTGGTGCTGGGACATTAGTAGGGACTGGAACCAAGGATGGTGCTCA